TGCTGCAGCAGAGCCACAGCTGGCACTGCAGGAGGGCTGAGCCCCCATGGATGGGGCTGGGACACCCCCTGACACACAGGGGGGCAGCTCCTATTCTCACTCTGGCAGTGTTTTCGTACTACTACATTGTATTTTCATTTCCCTATTAAGTTGTAGTTTTTAGTTTGTTTTTTAAAAAATTATTATTATACATATTAGTAAAGAACTGTTATTCCTATCCTCCTATCTTTGCCTGAAAGCCCCTTAATTTCAAATTTATAGCAATTCAGAGGGAGGGGGTCTACACTTTCCATTCCAAGGGAGGCTCCTGCCTTACTCAGCACACTTTCAAACCAAGACACAGCTTTAAATGTGGGGATGAGGACTGCCTGTCATTTGAGAACCTGGAGCCTTAAAAGTGGCAGAAGTAACATGTGCATTTTTAAGTGCTTGCATTGAAGCAAGATTAATTTCCATGTCTTGGCCAAATCGCCAAAAATCAAAAAAGTTATTCAGGGCCTTATAAAGTCAAAGTTTAGAAGCAATATATATTCAAACGTATATATCTCTCTCTCTCAAGTTATGGTTCATTGTATTTTGCTGGTTTAGAACAGTAAGGATTGCAGAATTACAAGGTAGGAAAGTACTGTATTTGACCCTTAAATCATATTTATTGACTTACTGAAATTATTGAAATACTAAGAATATTTATTGTGAAGATCTCCTTGTTTTTATTTTCACAAAGAAGCTGTTCAATTTCAAGAAATTTTGGCGTTTCCCTTCATTATTAATAAGAAACAACTTTCTCAAGAGATTTACATGACACAGTGCAGGAATCAGTCCCTCAGAGGGTTTAGTGCTGTGTTTTGCAGCCTGAGGGGCTGCAGCAGCTGCCCCTGGTTTGTGCGCTCGCTCTCCGCGGTGTAAACGTTGTGCTGTGCAATGTAGGCAATGACAGAGTCTGGGATCAGATATTTCACACTCAGCCCTCGGCACAGGGCAGAGCGGATCTGTGTTGAACTGATTTCATTCTGGATCCACTCTCTCACTAGGAAAATATTGTGCTGAAATTTAGATAAAAGCTCTGATTCCTGGATGAGCTGGGATGGATCAGAGCCAGCCCGGCTGATGCAGACCAAACCAAACTTCCCCACTATTTCTTTGATGTCTTCTTCCTTCCAGAGATTGGGTGTCTTAAATGTCTGTAGAAAATCAGCCCCACAGAGCAGCTTCAATTCTGGTAGAACTGGAAAGACAAAAGGAAATAACAGATGTCTTATCCTTTCTCAGTCTTCTAGGAAGTTTATACTTAAAATCAGTTTTAACTCATCACTTTAGATTTTTTTAAAAAATTATTTTTTAAATTATTTATTTTTACTCCAGGCTTTTTTTCAGAAAGTTGCAAGAAAAATTCAGTTTAGGTTTTTATGTTCTGGTCACAACTACTTTATCACCTACTTCATCGTCAATCAAAGCATATTGAATACTATCTGTACACAGTTAAATGAGAATTTTTACTCCACTCAAGTAATCCAAAAAGGGGAAGAAGGAAATAAAGAGAAATAATTTAGCACAAAGATTAGACTTGGTTGAACATGGCTACTCCACACCATCCTGCCCTGCTGTTCTTTATTGTCTCTATTTCTTATTTGGTGTTCACTGCCTAAGCCCCAGCACAGAACTCTTTCCTCAAACTTCTTCCACAGCACTCATCATTATTGTTGCACAAACATTGACCAGGTAGTTTCACAGCCTTGTATTCATGTGAAATGAAGAGGAAAGGAGGTTTGCCTTCACTCTACGCTCATTTGATGGTTAGCACATCTGCAAGTCTTCTACAAACACCTTAAAGGAGATATTCAGAATGTAAGAAACATTCCAGTGATGATGTGTCAAAAGTGTGACTTCTTTCCTCCACCAACTGTAAAGATACAACTCCTTAACAACCAGCAACAACTGAAATGTATTATTGATGTCCAAGAGATGCTACAACACTAGAGGAAAAAGGCAATGTACCAGAAATCCAGCAGCATCCTGGCAAGCCATAGGGCTAGGGAAGATGATTAGATAGGGAACTGAAAACTGACATTGTTTCCAGAGCCTGCCATGCCTCTACTGCCAACAGGAGCTTTTCTGGCCAGCAAACATCCTCATGGCAGCATCACTACTGTGCTATCCATACACTCTGTCCATTGTCTAACACTAGAAGTAGAATTCTAAGCAATCCCTGTATTTTTTATGAATGTATTCTGTGCTTTGCAAAAGAAGCAGGGCCACAATGTACATCTCTGACAGAGCTAGAGAGTTGCTTATAAAATCAAGAATCAATACAACTCCAGGGTCTCTTATCTGTGTGGGAGCTATTACAGAATAACTGCCCCAGCAGGAATGTTGGCATTTGGCACGGCTTGGTTTTGGCACGCAGCTCCAACCCTCAAAACTCACCAGCTACTATGTTCAATTTTCTCTCTACTAATCTGGTAAAGCTGTAGAGTTTTTAATGATAAACACAGCATCATATTTACAGTCATGAACCAACCTGGTTGCTGGCAAGAAAGGGAGTCCACTGTAGAACTTTCTGTGGGAAGTTTGTTTCTTGTGAACTTCTTGGACTGGAACGTTCTGAGTGCTTCATTATAATGGTGCCTGCATTTAAAATAAAAGCTCCTGTGTGAGGTAATTCTCAGATATGCACCAAAGTGATTACCAGGTACTTTCCCCTTCCAGAACAGAGCCTACTTTTCTGCCCTTTGGATTGGAATACCATTAGTTACATTTTGTAAATTCATGTGTGATCTCCTCAATGGCATCCTGGTTTGTAAATTTTTGAAATTCCACCATTACAGCAATTTTGGTAGCTACTACATTTAAAACATAGAGGGTTTTTTGCCTGAAACAAGACTAAATCTCACTTCAATCACTAGCTCTGATTTTTTGGTTACATACAACCCCTCACGATAGTGTTTTTGTAACATGTGCTCTGTTTTGAGGAGGAGACATTCTTGTTCTCTCTCCTCCTCTTCTCCACAAAAATATGCTCCCTGAGTTTTCACCTTGCTGTTTTCCTGTTTATTTTAATTAGAAGAATCACAATTCCAAGAAACTAAAAAGTCTCATAAGATTTTTGACATCTGCTGTGCTTCTAATTTTACTGAGTCCAGATCCAGGAAGGCAGGCAAGGATCCCTTTGCATGTTTTTCCAGGTTTCTGCTACTTTATCCTTTATCACTCCTCATCCCTGGGCCCCCCTGCAATAATGGTATTGCTACCTCATGGCAGTGGCCTTTTCTTTCCAAATCACAAAACCCTGCTTGTTTAGAACAGTCCCTGCCTTGCACCATCCTGAGCCAGGCCTAAGCATTGCTCACATTGCACAAGCCAACATTCCACTGGCCAGGAAAACTGCACAGCCAAGAGGTGAGGCACATATGGCAGCAGAGAGTGGGTACCAGGAGCTGGGTCTGTGCCTTCCCACACACCCAATTTTAACCCTGCCTTGCTGTAAACAGGCTGCTGCTATGTATAGCCAAGCACACCGACTGTGTGTCGTGCTCTGACATTCTTGGGCCAGGATTCAAAAACAAAAACGTTTGGCAAAGAGCTCCCTGCAGAACCAACGTTACTAACACTGCAAAATCTGAGCTGCCCTGGGTCTGCTCAGCAGCTCAAGGGCTGGAGCAAGTGGGGCTGCATTACTTTAGACACAGCAAAAAGGACAAACCCATCTGCCAGCTTCTCAAGCGTTTTCTGAACTGTGTATGAAGCTTTGAGTAACTACAGAGCTAAATCACAAGCACAACTCAACAGAAGTTGGGTAATGCAGATCTTTGCCAATTTTTAATTACTGTGTGGTATAGCTGCATGCCAATCACATCCACAGGAGCAATGACTGCAGTCCTTTGCCTTCTGACAATACTTCTTCCTTGTCTAGGAATACTCATCAACAGCAGCTAAATAGAAAACAGCTCTATTATGTTCCCTCCTCCTCTCTAAGAAAAGCCTTGGGAGAGTCTCCAAGATTTCCATACTAATTTAATAGCACTGCCATAAGTGGGATTTGAGCTTTGCTACTTTAAATTCTTTTGTGTCACAGCTACTTGGGATCCTCTGCAAAATCCACAGGTTTTGATGAAATGTGACATTTTTATTGCACTCAGTTAAAACAAGTACTGTAGGAAAAGGCCACTCATGTGTTTTAGGACTAAATGTTCTACTGCAGGTAAGTGTACAGCTCAAACCACTGATAAGAAGAGACACTTAGGTACAATAATGATTTCCTGCGCCTTGCAACGGGAAAATCTCTTTCTATTGATAGTGAAGTTTCCTACCTGAGGGAGCTTATTGTGAAGGCAGCAGTTAGTCCTTGGTATTTTGAGGAGTGAGGAACCCATAGATTAACTCTGAATGAATGTGAAGAACAACAACTCTACAATAAACCATTGCCTGTTTATACTTAGTAAGGACCTACTCTTTTTAAATCTTTTATTCACCTGTGACACTTAAAATACAGTGTAAAGCACAAACACCTGCATTTCATCAAAATGCTGCTTCCCCATTCAAGGGACAAGGTTCAGCACTGGATTATGGCACTGGTTCAGCTCATTAATACACATCAACATTTGTGGACAAAACAAGATTTAAGCTCATTTCTCTCCTTAACAAGCATCCATTTTAACATTTTGTGGATTTCCTAATATAACTAGAGGTTCACTTTTTAAGC